TAATTTTCAACAGAATCTTGTTTGCCTATGATATTGTTCAAGAATTTCCACACTCTATTGGGTCACTTTTTTTGGAATGGGAACAAATATAGATCTCTTCCAATCAGATGGTCAGGTGACTGTCCTCCAGATTTCCTGGCACAGCTTTGTAAACATGCCCAGGGCAGTGTATGTCTGTCGAAATATGTCAACTGGTACGCTGTCAATTTCTGTGACCTTGTTTTTTTGCCAATTCTTTCAAAGATGCCTGAACTTCCTCCTTCGCTACCACAGGCTCTTGCTCATATGTTGTTTCATTAAATTCTTCTGTGTCACCTAATTCTTTTTGGTTCAGTGACTGCATACTCTATCTTCTTTTAATGCTTCCTCAATCATGTAATATTCTGCCCAAAGCATCTTTAAGTATTGCAACTCAAGGCTTGAATTTGTTCTTCAGTTCCTTCAGCTTAAGAAATGTTTGAGTTTGGCCTTGTTGATTTTAGACTCCAACTCTTTACAGATTTCATTATACTTTGCTTCGGTTTTCTGCACTGCCCTTGGAAATCTTGTATTATGGGCCTATTCCTGCTCAGTTTTCCCTACTAGACAACTTGTGTTTAATTCTCCCTCAAGGTCTTTCAGGCAATTATAAATGCTGAAACATTCACTTTCTGTTCCAGTAATGTAAGAAATGTACCCTTCCTTTCAGTTCATGGAATGGCCATTTTTACTCTACAACAAAGGACATTTCCCACCTCCAGACCAACTCTACCCCTCAGTAAACTCTGTTGCTTTTACTTAAACTGTTAAACTCTATGATACATGGGTTAACCATAAAAATACTCGACTAAGTAAAAGCAGTCAAACTCAATGAAATGATCAGAAGAAGAAAGCTTGTACAGGAAGGAAGTAGAGACAATTGTTTCCAGGGTGGAGGAGGGCAAATGAGGGAGTGACAGCTAATAGGCCCAGGGTTTGGTTTTCCTTCAGACTGATAAATATCATCTCAACTTAGATAGCTGTCATTCATGATTGTAGAATTCTGTGAATCTAATGAATGCTACTGAGCTGCATACTCTCAAAGAGTGAATTTTTTAACTTAAGGAGAATCTCGTGTTTATTACCTGATTTACATTTGACAAAGCAAAGTTGGTATAAAAAGAGCTGTATGACAAAGTGCAAAGCCCCACAGAATAAACAGCATTGCTTCATGGCTGAGGGCACAGAGAGGGCTGTAAAGACCACTCCTGGGAATGGTGTTCTACAGGGCAACCACCCTGGGACGGTACTGGACTGCTGTCGAGTCACCTGTGATGCGGACAGGATGTACATATCAACTACCAAAGACGTGGACCATTCAACACCAACAGTCCAATTCCCATTTGTCAGGTCAGTAACCACCAAGGGTAAACCATGTACAAGGGCAGTCAAAACGAGTAACAAGTTTTCAATACTGTGAATCGATTCCTATGAGTTACTTCTAACTATTGTCTTCTTTTGCTAAAGTCTGTGCTGTAAGTCAAATCAAAGAGCACAAATTTTTTTCTTTTTTTTTAAAGAGTCGCATTATGCTTTAAAACAATAGGCAGGTATACATTTTAAAAAAAAGCCCAAAAACATCAAAAGCTATTCATATTCCCTAAGATTCACTCCTAAGACTACTTACATACGATTTGATATCATCAGTAATTTTTTTTTAAATAAGCAACTTCTTAAAAGGAACTCTCAAGGAAGCTCTGGTGGCCTAGTGGCAAGAAGCTGCACTGCAATCCCAGAGGTACACAGTTCGAATACACCAGATGTTTGGCTGGAGAATGAGGGACAATCTCCTCCTGTACCAGTCAGATCTGATTTGACAGTACACACACACAAAAATAATAAAATAAATTTTTTAAAAGTTTTTAAAAAAGGAACTTTCAGTTTCATACGCCAAGATATCGCTTGTAGTTTTTAACAGAATACTCAAAAATACCTGATGCAAAATCACTGATTTTTGAAAGAGGGGATATAAAAAATAAAATCAAATAAAAATAGAATAAATAAAAAAAGACTGAGGTTTTCTATACTGGCAGGAAAGTACACAGACAGTTGATACAATGGAATCATTAAAGCATGAATAGTACCGAAGGATCACAGGTGAGTCAAGGAGGAATTTCCGTTAAGGATTCAGTTCCCTTAACATACTTAGTAGACAATTCTACCATCACAGAGGTTTTTCAGGCGCTATCAAAAGTGATTTTTAGGTGGAAACTTTAAGAGCAGTAAAATCTAAATTTTTTATTTTTTGTTTTCTTTTATTATTTTTGTGTACGTGTACCATCAAATCAGATCTGACTGGTACAGGAGGAGATTGTCCCTCCTTCCCAAGCAGAGCATCTGGTGGATTCGAACCGTGTGCCTCTGGGATTGTAGTTGCAGCTCCTTGCCACTAGGCCACCAGAGCTCTCCTACAATCTAATTTTTAAATAAAGATTGATTTCTATAGACAAGCATGCCCCAGTTACTCATCATTGCTTTTCTTTTCCTTTTGGTGGAACGTCCGTATTAACTTCATTTTCAACAGCCTAATTCTAGCTTACTTCCATCAGATGTACTTTCTTGGTTGCTCTCCTCTCCTAAACCAAATCCAGCACCATTAAGTTGATCTCAATTCATCGTAACCATGCAGAGCAGAGTAGAACTGTCCCGTAGGGTTTCCAGGGCCGAACTCTCTATAGCCGCAGACTGTCTCATCTACTTCCAATGCAGGAGCGGTCGCCACTCGAGCCACAGCCAAAGGCTTAACCAACGAAACTCATCAGGAGCCTCCATTTTTCCCATCCCTTCCAAAGCAGTGATTTAAAGTAATCAATGAATTATCAATTATTAGTACATATAATAATTAAAATATGTTATTGTTTGCTGTTATGTGCTGTCAAGTCACCTGCAACTCATAGCGACCCTATGTACAACAGACCTAAACCCTGCCCTATCCTGTGCCAATCTTACTGTCTTTGACACACCCACTTCCATTACCCCAGTCACTGAATCAATCCATCTCATAGAGGGTCTTCCTCTCCTGCACTGTCCCTCCACCCTCCCAAGCATGAGATCCCTCTCCAAGGACCAGTGTGTCCTTGTAACATGTCCAAAGTATGTCAGACGGAGCTTCAGATCCTTGCCTCTAGTGAGCAGCCTGGTTTAATATACAACACTAAAACTAAAACTAGCTTAATTCCTAGTTATTTACATTATATACAGAAACCTGGCAATTTGATTCTTTTTATTATTCTCTGGTTCTATTTCTCTTTTTTATTTTATATTAGTTTATTTACAAAGTTTGTATATATGTTTCACACTATTCATTCACATTGTGTTTAATATAATCATTCCCATGCATTATGTTTTATAAAACTAATCACCATTTGACCTTGCTCATCATTATCCTGTCTTTTCTGGTTCCTGCTGGATCCTTCCCAATTCCTTCACCCTCTCCCTCCAGCCATAAAATTGTGCAAACCTTTGGTTACCCATTCCTTACCCCTCTGCTCCCACCACTACCCCCTTTGGGTTCCCATTCATGTTTTACTAGTTATCCTTCTATTTTTGTAAAAATGCTCTTATGCAGTATTTGTCCTTATAAAACTGAGTTAGTTCACTCAGCTTTATGCGCTCCAGTCTCTCCCAAGTTGTGTAGTATTTTTTTAAATCATTGCTCCTGAGTGCTACATAGTATCCCATTGTGTGAATGTGCCACAATTTCCCAATCCATTCAGCTGTAATTGGACATTTGGGCTGTTTCCATGTTCCTGTGATGTTGAATAATGCTGCTATGAACATTGGCGTATAAATTTCCACTTGTGTCTTGGTTCTAATTTCCTTGGGGAATATTCCTGGTAGTGAAATAGCTGGGTCACATAGAGTTTCTATGTGGAAATGTCACACTGCCTTCTAGAGTAGTTATACCAATTTACAATACAATCAACAGTATTTGAGAGTCCCCACCTCTCCACATCCTCTCCAACACATATTGTTTGCTGCCCTGTTAAACTTTACCACTGCTACTGGTGTGAGATGGTATCTCATTGTGGTTTTGATTTGCATCTCTCTTATTGCTTGTGATTTTGGGCATTTCAAAGAGTGAATTTTACGGTATGTGAATTATATCTCATTTTTAAAAAAAAAGAATGTGTAAAAAAAAAAAGCCCCAAATAGTTTCTTTATGTAAATCCAATGTTGCAAAACTGCAACTGCAATGTTAACCAAAAGACCTTGCATCTCCAAAGGTTTTAATCCCTCGGAGGTGCCTTCAAAGAAAGGTGGACTCTCTATATCCATAAAGACTGGCAGCCTCAACAAACCCAACAGAGAATTGATAAGAGTGTGAATTAACCCTACAGCAGTGAGAGCCATGCAGCACTGTTGTAAACACGCTAGATAGATTTATCTAATTCTCAAAAGATACCCTTATGAGGAAGCTAGTCCCATTAGCGTATCCTCTTCTTATAAAAAGAGACACTTTTATAAGCTTGAACAATTTTTACAGCATAATTTTTAAAATATTATATAGTCCATGTGTTCTGCCAAGTGTGTACTATTAAAAACATTTAAAATAAAGTAGAATCTGTAAGAGCTCAATTGGAAATAACAGTGGGTACATGACAGCTAAAGATAAAATGAGAACTAATTCTTTGCAGGCCTCAAAAATTTTTTAAATTAGAAAAGGAGCGTTTCACTATAAAACCATAATTTATCTTTTCATTTTACAAACATATTAATCTTTTTCCAAATGGTAATCACTCTTCTCTTAAAAGGAACATTTAGTGGATCTCATATAATCTGACTTCATATAATTGAACCGATCTTTTCCTACCCACTTCCTCTGTAATTAAGGGTACTGAGAGCCAAAATTCCTAGAGGACAAATTTTACTTTTATTTTAAAATGATCTCGTGATAGAAGAGTTTATGAATCGCAATTATGTTAAACATTTGGGCAACGGAGAATCTTCGACTGAAAGATTAATGGGGAAAGATTACGTACCTTGTTTTTAAAATAAACCTCAATTGGCAAAATGAAACCAGCATACCCAGATTCTTCTACCTTGTAAGGTGGATCTTTGCACACTGTAACATTAAAAAGAAGAACACAGGTGAGGTGGGAAGAAGAGACAAAAATACATTATTATTTAAAGAAAAAAATTAATAACATTCTATTATGTACACTATCCCCAATTCCATTCCCTCTTGTAAGCCTCTCAGGAAAGTCCTTAGTCTATCATTTACTTTTCCAGAAACTATAACAATATTTCCTACTTAAAGAAAATTTTTAGTATTAGTGGGATGTGGGTGGGGGTTGATCACAGTCAATCATAATCATCTCTATCTTGGATTCGAGTTGTTTTCTCTCATCCTACGGCTTTAGGAAAGGGAGCACTGGTGGCCTAGTGGCAAGAAGCTATGCTGCAATCCCAAAGGCACACAGTTTGAGGCCATCAGTTGTTCCACAGGAGGATGGGAATTCTCCTGCTGTGGGATCAACTGCCTCTGAAAAGCCCCTTGAGGGTAAATTATGGGTCAGTTCCCAACTGAAAAGATACACCACTGCAACAAGACTTTAGGAAATCTGAAGGCAACTCCGTATGACTAAAAGCTTAAGAACTCTAAGTTCTCTGATAAAAAGTGCTACTTACATATAATCTTTGATGTAAAGAATTCTAAATACATCATGTCAAAGGACAGTTGTGAGAAATCCTGATTTCTATGCCCCAAACTTGCAAAGCACCTTCTTCCTTAAACTGTCACAAACCCAGAGTCACCCAACAGTATCAATACTCACTAAGATTCACTATCTCCATACCTTAAAAACAATACTTACTGGCTTACTGACATATTGGTCTACATCCCCAAATTCAAAACATAAGTATATCAAGAATATATAACAATAAGGACTTTACATTTCTCATTAATTTGGAAGGAAGTAAGATTATTAAGAAAGTTTTTAGAAAATAAGACAGACTCTTAAAAAGCTAAGTATGATTTTATATGGCTAAAATTTCCATTAAACCAAAATCAGCACGAATTTCCCCAAAATATAACACGCCAACTGCTGCTTCATCACTGCTTCATCACTTCTGGTGGCCAGAACCCCACACGGCACAGCAGAACTGCCCCGTGAGATTTCCAAGGCTGTAATCCTGGAAGGATAGTCCTGGAGAGGGTGAAGCCAGGCTGCTCCTTGGTGGCAAGGATTCTGAAGCTCCGTCTAACATACTTTGGACATGTTGCAAGGAGGGACCAGTCCTTGGAGAGGGATGTCTTGCTTGGGAGGGTGGAGGAACAGAGCAGGAGAGGAAGACCTTCTGTGAGGTGGATTGATTCAGTCACTGGGGTAATGTGGATAGGTGTGTTGGAGATAATAAGATGGGCAAGGGATATAGCAGGGGTGAGGGCTATACAGCTATACGGTTGTACATACGGTCGCTATGAGTCGCAGGCAACTCAACAGCACATCACAACAACAGCAATGCTTGCAGAAGCAAACTGCCATATCTTTCTCCTACAGAGAGAAAGAGCTTGTTGGTCTGCATTACTGACCTAGTCTTAGTGGCCCAGTGCTTAACTGCTGTGCCACTAGGGTTCCCCAAATCAACAAAAAGTCATAATTATTCTAGCAAAAGACTATATGTTGGCACTGTCTCAAGAAATGAAAATGCACATGCAGAATATGCAACGTACACAGTCCTGGTACCCCACTGGCTCTTTGGCAGGGCTCCAGCCTCTCTTTCCTACCAAACCTGCTGTATTTCACTTAAATGCACTGGTTTCTCCCCTAACATGCCAGCAGGTCCCACCTGTGCCATCTCCTCTCTTTCCATGACACCTTGAAGCTGCTTTCCATATCCCATTAGTTCAAATCCCAACTTCTACATAAAGACTTTCCAAACCACAAAGTGCTATTATCTCCTTTCTATCCTCCCGAATCATTAACTGCCTGCATACCTACTTGATACTCAACAGGTTTCTTTCATTCATTTTATTCAAGAATCTCATCTACTCATTTCCTTTCATTCCTCCAGTGTCTTCTTAGGGAAGGCAAACTCGGGATACAGCATCTTTTATACCTAGGTTCTGATCTCTAATTAATCTGATACTGGCCAGGCTTTCTGGAAAGCTGCTTCGCCTCTTTAAACTTCAGGTTTCTTTCCTGGACAGTTGCTGAGGGTGATGTATGTAAAAGACACAGTACAAGCTCTTCCACATATCAAGGTCCATTAATCTAACCATGAAGCAACCAATCATCTCTCACTCTCTCTGATATAAAGGAAACAAGTAGAAAGGCCTGAATTTGGGATCAGGAAACTCGGATTCACACCCCTTGACTAAGGAATCTCTTGGTTCCATTTCCTTCCCATTTAGACCAGAAAACAATATGCTCTGCGTATTCGTATACATCCCTGCTGACAGGATGCAGAAAGACCACACGTAGAAAAATACAAGATATTTTTATTACAGCTGCTGCTGACAAGAATAATGGACATAAAAACTGGGGAGGCATCAAAACAACTATGAGATATCATCTCACCCCAGTCAGAATAGCAAAATTTAACAGAACAGCAAGCAACAAATGCTGGCGAGGTTGTGGAGAAAC